CCACCCCCACCCCCCACCCCATGGCCAGGACGTGGTTTTCTGAGAACACCTCACTCTGTGTCCCAAGGTCCCAGGTAAAGGGATGCACCACCCACTTACCCATGAGGCCATTGTGGCAGCCACGTATGTCAGCACTAACGCGAACGGGGAGGGAGACGAGCCTTTCTTAGCACATGCAAGGCCGGGAGTGCCTGTGGCCCCAGCGCTTCAGCCGAGGTGGAAGGATCTCTTGAGCCAGGAGTTTGAGGCCAGTCTGGACAATACAGTGAGAGCTCACCTCTATTTTATTTTTATTAATTTTTTATTATTATTATTATTATTATTATTATTATTATTATTTTGAGTTGGAGTCGCACTCTGTCGCCCAGCCTGGAGTGCAGTGGCACGCTCCCGATCACCACAGCCTCAACCCGCTGTGCTTGGCAATCCTTCCACCTCAGCCGTCCAAGTAGCCGGAACTATAGGAGCGCGCTACCACATCCAACTAATTTTTTATTTATTGTAGAGATGAGGTCTCGCCAAGCTGCCTGGGCTGGTCTTGAAACCTGGGCTCAAACAATCCACTCGCCTTGGCCTCCCAAAGTGCTGGGATTACAGGCTGAGCCACCGAGCCTGGCCTCGCCTCTATTTTAAAAAACAAATTAGCCAGGCACAGTGGCTCACATCTGTAGTCCCAGCTACTAGGGAGGCTGAGGTGGGAGGATCGCCAGAGCCCGGGAGGGGGAGGTTGCAGTGAGCTGCAATCGTGTCACTGCACTCCAGCCTGGACAGCAGAGTGAGACCCTGGCTCAGTAGCTCTTGGAAAGGCAAGTGCGGGTACGGCAGGAGGTAGCGAGCTCCCTGACCCTGGAGAAAATCAGGCAGCTCGAGGGGGTGGGGCAGAAAGCCCATAGGGCCTTCCAGCCCAGGCTCTTCCACCTGCACCTGGTCGACCCCACCATGAGGGCCCGGGAGCCAGAAGCTCAGGAGGTGGCCCTGGCCCCGCACTGTTGGCGCCCTGGGAGCCGCGGCTGTCTGCCTGGCTGTGGCTGGCGATAGGACCTGTGAATGTGGGGAGTGAACGGGGCACTGCTCTGGCCCCCAGCTTGCTCCACTCTTTAAAGCATCTCCGTGGGTGCCATGCGGGACCCAGTGAGCCAGTCCCCACCCAGCATGTGCCCTCTGTTACCCTCAGGCCTGGGCTCTGGTGGGGGCACGGTGGGCAGCTCCGACGAGGAGACAGGCTGCAGGCTCCCTGGGCGCCGCAGCCAGAACCCTGGGGATGCCGAGCTGGAGGCGAGGGCAGAGGATGCCTCCAGGCACTGGGCGGGAATGGATCCCTCCAGCACCCATTCCGCCCCGTGGGCCGAGTCGGCTGAGATTCCCGGAGACCCTGAAGGATGCGTGACCCAGGCATCATGTGGCAGGCATGCCCTCTCATGGCTCACTGTGAAGTCAGGCTGAGGCCGGAGCCATAAGGAGGAGGTCCGTGGCCTGAGGACGCTGAAAATTCTGCGTCCTCAGCTCCATCCCGCAAAGGAGGGTCTGGGGCCCTCGTGGATGTCCGCAACCCCCACGCGGCACTCATGAGCATATGCGTTCCTGCAGCCTCCATGCCTGCTCTCCCAGCGATGTGTGTGTCTCTGGGGCCAGAGGCCACACCAGGGTCCCAGACTCTTGCAGCCCTCAGCCAAGGGAACCCAGCTGGCATTTTGTCTTGCACTACCCGGGAGGAAAACCAGCGAGCCCACAGTCTGGGTGCCCGGAAAAGGCTGCACCAGGGTAGGCGTCCTGGTCCAGCTCAGAGCCTGGCCCTCTCAACACCCCCAGAGCCCTCCCCAGACCTTGCCCAGAACATCTAGAGGCGGCTGGGACACCTGGCCCAGGAGCTCCACCAGGCGTCACCTTACCAGGGATGGCTTCCAGGGCCAGGTGTTTCTCTGAGGCTGCCCTCAGCAGGCACGGCCACTCCCCTTCTCTCCGTCACCTCCTCTCCTGGCCGGGCCATGGACCCGGGATTGCAGGCTACAGTCTGTGGGTTTCTTCCTCTTCCCAGGTTACTCCTTTTTTAATGACACGGAAGAGACCAAGGCCACCATCAAAGACTGTAAGTACCCAGGTCCAGCTGCCCACGACTATGCCGCCCGTGTGGTGCCGCAGGTGGCGTGGGCACTCGGAGCCCTGCTGAGGAGTGGAGGCAGGCACAGGCTTGGGGAGACCTGGGAAGGGCATGGTGGGGAGGGCGTGGCTGGGTCTTGAGGCCAAACCTGGGGCCTGGGCGCATATCTTCCAGACTCAGTTTCCCTGTCTATAATGTGTGATGCTTGCTAGGGCGTGGCGAGTTCTAGAAACAGTGTCAGGCAGGGTCTAGCATGTGACCAGCGTCCATCATGGTGATGTGGAAGCTCCTACAGGAGCCGAGGGCCTTGTAATTGGGAGGAGGCCAGACACCCTGAGCGCTGACACCTGAGGCTGGAAGGGCGGGGTCTCCAGCAGCCTCAGGTCTGGCTTTTCCCTCCCGGGGAGGCTTTCGCATGAGGAGATGAGGAAGGAATGGTATTTCCTTTTACAACATGCATTCCTGCTTTTTGTTGAGTCCCGCACAAGGGCCATAGGGGGCGGGTAGGTGGCGCCGTGTCCTGGGTGGCCTCCCGTGTCATCCATGAGGGCAGCACATTGTGTCTCGAGACTCCAGGCAGTACCAGCTAGAGGGGCAGGCGGAGGGACTGTGAGAGTCCCCAGCCACCGACGGGGAATCGCTCTGACCCTGGCTGTCAGAAGTCAAGGGTCTCCTGGTTTGGGGACTTCAGCCCCAGCCCAGGCGCTTCTGTGAATGAAACTCGTGCAGCCTCTGCCAGCAACACCCTGCACACCCCGCACCACTGTGCACACAGTGCCGTGCCCTCCTGGCGATGGCAAGTTCTCTCGCAGCCGCCCCAGCAGCCAGGAGAAGTGGACCCAGCTCCACCCCAGCCTGAGGGACGCATCCTCGAGGCCAGGGGCCGGGATGGAGTCCTGAGGCCAGAGTCCAGGCAGGCGGCCCACACACCCACAACACCCTCACACAGCACACACACACACACCTGCACACACAGCCACAGCACCCACACACAACACACATACACAATACCTGAACACAACCCTCCACACACAAAACATATCTGTACACACAACACTCACACACACAGTAGTGACTGGCCTGAGCCACTCCCTCAGGCGTCAGCGTCCTCACCCTTTGAACAAGAGACGGAACCAGCCTGGCCTCCCTGGCAGAACCAAGGGCCGCTGTGCCTGCAAGGCATCGTAGAAGCAGGTGTTACCCAGATGCGTGATGAGCTATGGCTGGGCCAGTGTGGTGACGACGGTGATGATGACAGGATGACGACGGCCATGGCAGCCGGTGTCTGTCGAGTGCTCGCTGTGAGCCAGGCCCGTGCTGACACCTGGCAGACCTCGTCCCGGGTGACATTCCCAGTCACCTGAGACGCCAGCACGAGCTCCATGGCCTTCGTGGGGAGAGGGGACAGGGCAGGGTGGCAGGTGGCCTGGGTGGTCGAAACCGAAGCCCCATCCTGCGCCCCCTCACCCAACCTCCGCTCCCGCCTCATTCACTCCCCGGCTTGTGCATTAGGCAACACCTCCCGAATGCCGTGTGGGCCAGGCCCAGCTCCGTGCAAGGCAGCGCCCCACACTCACTGGCGTTTCGGCCTCATCCCCACCCACTGGGCAGCGGCCGTCCTGCCCCCACACC